CCAACTTCTTCACGGGGATGCTGCTCTCACGGCACCCGGCAGGAGGCACGACCCCCAGCTCTGCAATGAGCCTCGAGGTCAGCCGGGGAGCTGGAGCGCAGGGGCTGAGCAGGAGGGTGATTGGAGCTGGGAGGATTTGGGGTGCAGAAGTCAAGCAGCAGCAGTAACATCCAGAGTGGGCAACTGGGGCTGGCTCCAGAGCTTGCACCTCACTGGGACCCCAAAGACACGCTGGCTGGGGATGCTTCATTAGCAAAGATGTAGAGACCTGTGCCTGGCTCTGCTGGGCTGCACTTAAGTGCCATGAGTCTTGCAGAAACCTGTGGGCTGTGGAGTGCTTGGCTGCTCCAGGAGAGAGGCACCAGCCTCAAACTCACCCTACAGGAGATGCTAAACTGATCAAACCAAACCCCTGATGTACTGAGGGCTCCACTGGAGCTGGTGTCTGCTTTTCCACCATGCCAACACCTTCTAGTCCTTCCAGGGGAATGAAAATTACTTCTTAACCAGTGTTTCCTATGCTCAGCTGTCCTGAAATGGTGCTCCTGAGAAAGGAAATGGGAACTAAGAAACAGATTCTGGGATATACCCAGAGAAGCTGAATTCACACAGGAGGCTTTTGGTTGGCTATTAATAAGAAATGCTCCTGGGAAGCTGCTGCTCAGGAGTGTCCTGGGTCAGCTTATAACCAACAGGCTCCTTTGGTAAGGGGTATCAGGTTGTGTGTTGGATCTCCTATGAGAGAGCACAGCCGCAGGGGTTCCCTGCAGGCACCAGAGCAGGGCATCCTGCCCTGGGGAGAGCACTGGGAGCCAGGGCAGTCAGGGAGAGGGGCTGGGGACACTCGCAGCTGCATGTTGTCCCTCCCCAGCAGCTTCCCCCCGCCCGATGCCAGGGAAGTCATCGCCCTCCGCTTCTGCCTCTGCAGAGCTTTCGCCCCTGCTTCCGCCCACTCCACCCCTCCGGCGCTGCAGCAGGGGCCAGGGTGCAGAGCCGGCAGCCTCCAGGCTGACCTTCCCCACTCTTTTCCCCACTGGATGATGGATAAACCCAGCACAGGCTGGTGCAGCATCTCCAAGGAGGGGCAGCTTTCTAGCCCCAGCTCTCTGGGGCCTCACGAAGCTGTGTTAAACCCCAAAGTTCCTTGGCAGTTCCTGTGGTTTCCCCCTCAGTGAAACAGCATGAAACACTGTAGGAGGAGGGAGCAGTTCTGCGTGCCTGAAGCACTGCAAAGTGCTCATCACCCACTGGGACCTGCCCACAGTTCCTGCAGCCACCCTAAAGCCCAGGGAGCAGTCATGGGACAGCTAAAAGCCTTGTGGGGCTGAGGGGCAGAGGTTCCTCTGGGTAGGGAGAGCCTCACAGCCACAGGATGATGCTCTCATCGGGACCATGGCAGGGCAAAAAATCGCCAGCCCTCTGGGGACCTCCTGCCCCAACCCAAAGGTGATGCAGGACCTGCTTCACACCCTCCTGTTCTCACCAAGTTAACTGCAGCATTTGCCAGAGTGAAAGCCAGGCAGAGGCAGGGTGCGGGTAGGTGCCTGTAGGAGCACTGCCCCCCCCCATGATTTATGGCTGTCTCATGCTGATTTATGGCTGTCTCAGGACAGACCCCGGCCCTGTGAGGTGCAAGGCGTGATGGTGTAGGCAGGTGACTTTAGTAAAACTGGGTGCTGAATGGCAGGAGGAGGCACAGCATCACTTTGGTAGCAGACAAGCCAGAAGGGGTTTTTCAGACTAAATTAAGGCACAGGGGAAGTCCTGAGGATGCTGCTGCTTTGTTTTCAGTTTCCCTTCCCTCAGAAGGTCCCTGGAACATGCTGCCGCCATTGCAGTCACCTCATGTGTCATTTTCCACGTCTCCCTGGCCACCCCTGGGAACAAGTGGTGCTAAGAAGGGAATTCAAGACCCCCATTACTTTCACCCAGAAAATACACTTGTCTGGATCTGGCTCAGCTGAGCTCAGTGCCTGTCAAGCATGGCTGTGGCCACAGTCTTGGCAAAGGGATGGGGACATCACTCCCACAGAGGCTCAGGTTATCCTTTCCAACATGTATTCCCAAGTACTACCCAAGCAGAGCACCGCGCAGTGCTCAGTGCTGCTGGGTGCCTGTTCCCAGGAAGCTGGTGCCTCTGGCCAGGCACTGCAGTGCTTCCAGTAACCGCGCTGCCCGGGAGAGGAGTGGAGACCACCAAGACAAGTAGCTACAAGGAAACTGCCCTAGAAACCTCAACGTGGTGCCACAGGGAGGCTTCTCTCCCCTTGGCCACTGCCACTTAACAGCGTGTCCTGTGGCCCCGCTGGCATCGCTGGTGATGCATGTGGGTACCAGCACTAGTGCTGGCTTCTCTTTCCCTGCACGCCATTGAGGATATTTTGAACTCGTTTAAAATATTCCTGGGGAAGTGTTCAGAAAATTGCTGAACAGGGAAAAACCCTATTTCCAGCGAGTAACCCCTTGACCTGCTCTGTGAAGCTGTCCCATCCATCCCACCGTGGCACCTTATGGCTCCCAGGGCGGGGTGCTCCATTTCACAACCCTGGCCCACAGGAGAAGCTGAGGCGGCTGCTCAGCCCTCCCACTCGCTGCTCCCTGGTGGGGGTTCCTCTCATTTGGGTATGAGAGGCGCGTGTGTGCCCGCTAACCCCTCACACCAGCTGCCAGCAGCGCTGCTCCCAGGGTATGAGACAGGGGCATCCTGCAGGATGCTGGTGTGACACCCACTGGTGCCTGCACCTGGTGCCTCCCTGGGGCACCTGCTCAGCTGCCTTCATGGCCAGTGATCCCAAACTTGGTTCCTGTCTCCAGCCTCCTGAGACGTGAAGACACTCCCGAGCTCCCACCACCCACACCCAGCTGGAGCCTGGTGAGGATGAGCTTGCAGGGAACTGCCAAAGAGCAACCGTCCCCCCCCCCCCAGGACCCACCTTCACAAATAGCTCGATCTCAGGCTCTTCGGTGGCGCTGTGCTGCCGACTCTCCATCCCAGGAGCGTGGGGAGGGATCGCTCACTGCTGCGCTGACTTGGTCTGTCCTCCGTGGAGCACCAGCACGGAAGGCTTTCAGAGGGTTGAGGGCTTGAGCACCTTGGCTGCGCTCACACCCGCTCGCGGAGGGCCGGGGCTTGCCCTTTCCTTCCTTTTGAAGCGGGGAGGAGCAATGGGGTGTGCGTCTGCCGGGACCTGCCACCGGGGAGGGGGAAGCTGTGAGGCCTCCCAGCCGTGACTCAGCACGGGTCTATCTGGATGCTTTCACGGGTCCCCTTCCAGTCTATCGCACCCACCCAGGCGCTGCTCTGGTGTCTGGGAGCCCTGGGCTGGCAGCCCCAGCACCACTGCCATTGCTTCCCTGCCAGCTGGGAATGGGGGTTCTACAGGGGAAGCATCTCTCCCGTCACTCCTCACGCTGCTCCACTCTGGTCTTGCCCCTTTGCCATTCTCCCACCCTTGCGCCCAGACACCAGAGCCCAGGTCTTGCCACTTCTTTCTCTCTCGGGGGTGAACCAAGCTGTCACCTTCCCACTGCCTCCCAAGGCACAAGAGCACAGCTCCCCTGCCTGCCCAGCACCACCAGGGCGGGCTCCTCAGAGCACCCCTGGTTGAAAGGAGCCAGGCACAGGCCTCAGCTGTGCTGCAGAGCAGCCCAGGAGGGTGCAGTGGGAGCCCCAGAGTGCTGCTGGCAACAGCCCAGCCGGGGCAGCGCGTGGCAAGATGATGGGAGGTATCCAGGGCTGACCCCTGCCAGGGCCCCCCCGTTCCTGGAATTTGGGCTGTGTCACAGGAAGGATGACCACTTGCTTTCCTCCTCAGGATGGGAGTGAAGTGTTCTCTGTCAGATCATCCTGGCTGCGGGCCCAGAGGAGACGGCTTCCCAGCACCCACGTGCTTCACTCCTCTCTTGGGCAAGTCCCATCTCACTCCTTGGGACCCTGTATCTGGCACCGAACTTTACACAAATGGAGATCCCAATTCAGCCCACTCCCCCGCCCCCCCCCCCCCCGGTTGGGTAAGCTCAGGCTTTCCTAAAACTCAACAAGCCCTGATAAAGAGTCCACCCGAAGCAATCGTGCTGGGAAAGGATTGTGTAGGCTCCCAAGGGAGATGTTTCTCCTTGGTCTTGCTGTGCAGCCCAGAGCGGTGCTTACACCATGGGCTGTGCGGGGAGTGGGGAACTGGGAGGCATTTTTCTCTCTGCCCCATCAAAGCATTTGGAGGACTTGACACTGCGCCTGATGGGTCAGGAAACTGCCCAGTAAGCGAGAGGGGTGAATTAATGACACTGTGAGCGTCAAGTGCGGCCACGGCAGCACCCCTAGGACCCATCCTACTGCCTGCACCCTGCTATGGACCCCTGGATGATGTGTGCTGGTCCCTGCTGCTGCCCCAGCCCGAGGGGTGCTGAGCCTGCTGGGGCGCTCCGGCTCCTTGCACTGCCGGCGGCTGCTTGAGGCTGACCTCAGCCGGATGCATTCCCCCGAGCCACCAGCTGAGGCAGCAGGCAGGGGTTTAACTGAACTGCTGTGCTGCGGGGCACTGCACGGTGCCCTCCTCTGGGATGTCGAAGTGCCCCATATACAGCCCTGCCGAGGCTGCAGGGGCAGAAGAGCAGTAGCAAAGAGGCCCCGGCCCGCAGTGGGTTTTGCAGGGAGGGTGTTTGCCCTCCCCACAAAGGAGGCACTCCGGCAGCCCTTCCCTTCCTCCTCAGAAGGCCAAAATGGAGATTACAACACACATGCATCCGGACTTCTGCCTCACCGTGCCAGTGCAAAAGCAGGAGGCAAGTTGGAAGCCCCTGTGGTGAACAAAGGCGTGTGGGAAAGGGGCTGCCGGCTGCCAGCGACAGCGGTGCCAAGGCACAGAACCACTTGTGCCTCTGGGAGCACGTCCCTCCGTCCCTCCCCGCGGGGGGGTCCCTGTGCTGAGCGTGCCCCAGCTGACCAGAGCAGCCCCTTGCACTGGCAGCGCACACAGAGCGGGCTCAGAGGCCCTGCCTGGGCAGGGCACAGAAACGAGCCATTGTCCCCATGCTGCCTGCCTGGCGCCAGCCGCCACTGTGACCACGTTGCAGCCAGCAGCACTCGTGCCATGGCCGGGCTGGTAGGGACAGCAGCAGCCCTGGTCCTCCTCTGCCTGGCCGTGGGGCTGGAGGCCAGCCCGGAGCTCTCTGGTGAGTCGGGGCATAGGCAGGGTTGTGAGGGATGCTGGGGACGGTGCAAGGGGTGGGTGAAGCAATAGCAGATTTGGGGGGCTCAGGACAACAAGTGAGGCACCAACCGCTGAAGGCCAGAGGAAGTTTGCCAAAAAGAAATTGGGGTTTTGCATCCTCACCACAGCAGGGCTGGCTCTAAAACCACCCTGTACATGCCCCACAGCCCTGGTGTGAGTGAGGGGGCCGCTTCCTGCGCTGCTGCTGTGCTCCATTGGACAGTTTGGAGGCAGAAATGCAAAACACCAAATCTTAAGGCAGACCCCAGTTTTCCTGAGCCCCCCATGCACAGACATGATACTCATGGTCTTGGGTGGTGTGTGAAGCTGAAGACTCCTGGAGTACCCAGGGCTTCTCTGCAAGCCTTTGCTGCTCTGAAAAATCGAGGGCAGAGATGGGCCGAAGCTCTACCCAGTTCCTGGCTGGAACTGGTGACTGTGATCCCCATCCAGAGCTGCCCATGAGGAGGGGGCTGCAAGGTGCACTGCCACAGGGCACGGCCAGACCTTCTCCCAAGGGCAGCACTGGTAGCCAAGGTGGAAGTTTGGGATCTCTTGTGCCACAGCACTTGGAATAGTGAGGAGGGTGCAGGCACAAACCAGCCCCGCATCACTTCACCCCCAGGTATCCATCATGGAACCACTGAGCGGCAGCACAGGCACTGAGGAGAAGGAGGAGGAGGAGGAGGAGGAGGATGTGATTTCATCCGGGCAGAGCTGACTGCACAGCTGCACCGGCAGGGACTGAGTCAGTCATGCTGGATGCACTCACATTCTGCCTGCAGCCTCCTCACCATGGCTTCACTCAGAAAAAATCTTCACAAGTGCTCGCTGCCCAAAGTGTTGTGATGGAGCAGCAGAGGAGGCTGCTGCAGGGCAGGCTGGACTTGGGGAAACCCATTTCTCCCCTGTTCCTCGCCCATGTCCCTCAGCCCATCGTGCCCCAACTACCCGGGCACCAGCTGCCTCAGTGATGGGAAGGTCGGCCTGGAGATGGTGCCAGGCAGAAGCCGAGTGTCTCCAGAACCTGCACAAGAGCCTGGATGCTGCAGCAAGAGTGGACCTGCTGCTTCCATGGGTGCAGGGGAAGGAGATGGGGCCAGCAGGGTCCTGGGCAGAGACCCCTGTGCCTCGAGGCCCACAGCACCCCGTGATGTGGAGTGACAAGAGGAGAGGTACAGGACAGGGTTTGTCCTGCCCTCTTCATGTGGGCACTGCACCCCAAGGGTCTGATCTAGCTCTGATGTGCCCTCCATGGAGCACCTTTGCATCTCACTGGAGCTCTGATATGGCTAAGACAGCATGTCTACTCCCATCCACCCTCTGCCTCTCCTCTCTTCTCTCCTCCAGCACTCAGAGGAGAAGGCAAGGGCTCGTCTGCTCAGGGCTGCAGCCCTTCCTCTTGCTCATCCTACACTTGCAAGGAGAAAGATTAACCCCGATTAACTCCCAGCAGCTCCCAGCTGCATCCCTGGCTGCCTCTGGGGCAGGATGCCAGCAGCAGGGGACAGAGGGTTCATGGTGGCAAGGGAGGTGAAAGGGGCCCTTTGTGCAGCTGGGCCTGGCACTGGTTTGCAGAGGGACAGCAGGAGAAGCATGGGGCTGGATGCTGGAGCTCCCACCTCCTTGTGTTGGTCTGGGGGAGTTTGACACAGCGCAGGATAGGGTCGGGGTGCGTGTCCTGCCCGGGACCCTGGCATAGGACTGGGATGTGAGTCCCTCCAAGGACTCCACAGCTGAGGACTGGGGTCTGTGACACAACTTAGGCAGGATTAGAAGGGAGAATTCAGGGAGAGAAGAGGCCAGTTCCCATTGGAAAGGCTCGCACCAATGCACTGGGCTTCTCTGGCAGAGATGGGGTCAGCTGGGCTCAGAGAATGACTTGGTGGCTCACACCCATTCACACCAATGCAGACAACTGTGGGAGCTCGCAGAGGCCGCTGGACCCTTCCTTTCTCCAGCCCACGGCTTGACATCTTGTCACATAGCATCCTCCTCTCCCCGCTCTGGCAATAATCTCTGGGTGATCATCTCTGGCTCATCCTTGCTCAGTCTTCCCTGTGTCTCCACATCTAACTTGATTTTCTCTAAACCTTTGAACCTTCATGGGATTCTGTTCTTATTTTTCCTGACCTGTCATTCGGCCTCCAGCTTTCACTTCCCTTTGCTAACCAGCTCAGCTGCTCCATACTGCTCCCTAGCCCCTTGGCTGCAATGCTGGATGTGAGATTTGCTGTGAGTCCACCCTGCTCCTGTTTGCCCTGTACGTGCCCAGCCCAGGTTGTCCTCACTGCCACCAGCTGCCAGGAGCTCAGCACCACCACCGCTGTGCTCCAGCATCCCCCCGGCCAATGCCACCGTGCTCTCTCCCCACCCAGGGTACCTGCGCAAGGTACTGAGGAACCACACCACGCACACATGTGATGGGGAGCAGCTCCTCATCGTCTGCCCTCACAGGACCACCATCAGCATCCTCGGAGCCTTCTACGGGCGTCGCGTGCCCAGCCCCAACCTCTGCCCCAGCCCTGGCAATGACTCCCAGGAGAGCACTGAATGCATGTCCACCACAGCCCACCTGGTAAGGGCAAGGTCTCGGGGACCAGGACCCACCCAGCTCCTTCCCTGGGTCACTGGGCTGCCTGCTTTGGCTGGGCGGCTGTACCGCAAGGGAGGCTGCTACCATCGGCATCGCGATTCACCTGTGGGATCCCTTCCTGGGAGGGTTTTTGGGAGATGAGGGTGGATACGGCCTTCTGCAGTGGGTCGCTGGGCAGGCAGGAGGCGCTGCTCCGTCCTGAGCTGTGATTCTCGAGTAATCCCGCAGGATGCCGCAGGATGCAGCCCTGGCAGCTGGGCTGGGTCCTGGCAGTTGACGCGGGACAGGCCCAGGAGGGCTCAGCACAGAGCCCCTCTTCCTGGGCCAGGAGAAGCACTTGTCCTTCAGGCAGCCCCCGGGAAGCAGGTTCATGAGGGAGGCCCAAAGGGGAGCCTGTGGGTGGCAGTAGCTGGCACAGGAAGGAAAGGCAGGCAGGACCCAGGGAGGGGGCAGCAGGAGAGTCCCTCGATGGGGACATGGTGTCACGTGCTGCTTTTCTATTGGGGTTACAGCTCCTTGAGGAGCTGGGACCTGCGAAACTGCAGCTGCATGCAGGTGCCCGTGGGGAAGGGGAACGTGGATTTTGAGACGAGGAACAAGAGCTGAGGGACCAGTTCCCTGCTCCAGGAGCTCGTGAAGCTTTGCTGCCCTGTCCTGCTCCAGCTGCAGATCCCCTCCTGGTATCCTGCATATCCCAGGAGCTCTGCAAGGGCAGAGCTGGACCATGCCGGCCCCACAAATCATGCTGCAGGGTCTCCCAAGCTTACGTGTCAAGCACAGGATGGGGGATGTGACCCAGCAGAGATGTTTGGAGACCAAAGAGACAGACAGGGGCGCCATCACCACAGGTGGTGGGATCCCAGCTGCAGGGCAATCCACTTCTCAGGGGGATGCGGGGGGCTGGTACAACAGCCCTGCGGGCTGCCCGAACCCAAAGCTATTGGGTGGGCAGCAGCAAAGGGCACCCAGTGCCTGAGAGGTCTGTTGGTTGCACGTGTGCTTTACACAGAGCCTCATCTGGGTGCATGGGTGTCGCACAGGGCTGCGTTACGGTGCACACTGACTGTGCTGGCACGAAGCTCTGTGTGAGTGCAGAGGGCTGGTTCAGGAGCCAACACGGGGGGGGGGCTTCGGGTGGGAGCAGCCGTGGGACACCTCTGCAAGGGGAGAAGCTTTTTGTCTGAGCCTGGTGGTGGCACCGAGGTGGTGAGCACAGCCTCAGAACTCCTCACCCACCTCCTTGTCTGTTCCACTTTGCTCTCCAGAAGCTGCTGGCTGAGTGTCAGGACCAGCAGTGGTGCCAGTTCTCAGTGCACAGCCAAGTCTTTGGGCCAGACCCGTGCCCGGACACACACAAGTACCTCATTGTTTCCTACAAATGCCGGCCAGGTAAGGTGGAGTGGGATCTGCGCAATGCTGTCAGGGCCTCTCCCCAGCCTCAGCTGCTTGGGAAGGGCAGAGAGCGGAGCTGAGATGCTCCTGCGCCTTGCGGCCCTCCTGCAGCACTGCGGCTTGGGATGTGATGGGGCGCTCCACAATGTCACACCCCAGGGAACCATCGGGTCAAAACTGTGTGTGAAAATGACAAGCTGAGGCTGCAGTGCCGACCAAAATCCGTGCTGGCCATTTATTCTGCCATTTATGGACGATTCCTGCGGGGGAAACCAGAGTGTGATGCCCTGAACACTGTGGGGCCCCATATAGGTACGCCAGAATGGGTCAAGCCAGAGAAACAGGGACAGAAGCTGGGCAGAGAGCATGGCACAAGTATGGCATCGGGCTGCCCCTGTGCCTCTCAGTGCCCCACAGGCAGGGGCAGGCAGGTCTGCCCACGGGTCCATGCCCCATGTCTTTGCAGAGTGCTTGGCTCCGGACGCCCTGCGGAGGGTCTCCAGGAAGTGCCACCGCAGGGGGAACTGCACAGTGGCTGCTGACCAGGCCACTTTCGGGGATCCATGCCTCCCTGGCACAAAGAAACAGCTACGAGTGTCCTACACCTGCGGTGAGAGTCACCACGGGGCCGGGGCCACAGGGGAGCCCCTGTTATGCAACCCCGTGCCACACAGGCAAGGTGTGGGGCTGCCGGGCATGCAGGCGGCTGCTGGGTGGTGATGCTCCGTGTGTGCTCTCCTTGCAGTGCCCAAGCAGCTGCTGGAGGAGGTGGGCCCTGACACCTCGGACCCCTTCCTGCTCTCGGACTACATGCACGGTATCATGAGGGGGAGGCTATGTCAAAAGCCACGTGTTCACACCTGGGTGAACCAGGCCTTCCTTGGCCTGTCTGTACCTATGGTGCCCACCACTGGCACACATCCCACAGCTCTACCCCAGCATCACTGTCCCATGGCTAATGCCACCCATCAGTCAGTGCCCACATCTAAGCAGCTGGAGGGATGTGGTCACTCGGAGCTGAGAAGAAGGGGACCCAGCAGGAGCATCCTGCAGGCAGAGAAGCACTTGTGCAGGAAGGAAGGAGAGTGGCCATGGGGATGAGGGCAGGCAGTAGGCAGCAGGGCGCTGGGGAGTACCCTGTGCCTTAGCTCACATCCCCTTGTCCACTACAGGTGGCTGGTACAAAGGGCCCAGGTTCTCCAAGCTCCGGGAAGACCGGATGATTTTTACTAGCACTCTGGCAGCTTTTGCCCACCTCTGGGGTACGTGCACTCCCCGGTTCTCATGCAGCACCTGGGGGAGCGGGACAGGCTTGGGAGGGTGGCTCAGGCCCCATGGTGGCCCCCACTCAGCCCTGGCTTGAGCACCCATGCTGGTCTGGGAGCACAAGAACAGGAGCTCAGAAGAGGAATGAGCCCCAGGGTCCTGCAGCATCCATGGCTGCAGTGCTGCTGTGATCATGCCCGCAGACCTTCCTTCTCTGACTGGCATTAGCTGGGTCTCCTTCCTTCCTGCCCTGTCTGTGGGGGCACTGACGGAGAACACTGTTCTGCAGGCAAAAGTTTCCCTTGCCAGGGGAAATAGCTTATTTAAGTCCCTGGCAAGACGATTCCTCCACCTGTTCTCCCTACCCTGCATCCCAATGGGGGTTTCATATGGAGAAAGGGGCATTTCGGGACACTGGTGGGTGCTGATGTTGGGTGAGGCTCCCATTTTCACTGGGGCAATCAGCCCTGGCTGCTGAGGGCAACGCTGCTCTCTTCCTCTTACATACGCCCAGCAGTGGGGCGTTCCCAGGCACTGGTACCTGCAGGCCTCAGAGGCAGTATGTACCCTGGTGTCTCTCTTTGCTCTTCACCCCCCAGGCGTCCCAGAGAAAGTTGGTCTTTACTTTCTTTGTGGGGTCTCCGGAGGCCTCATGCTCCTGCTGTGCATTGTCAGCCCCAAAACCACCTTCCTCCAGGAGGTGGGGGAGGCTCTCAGAGACCCAGAGCTGGGAAGCAGCTCAGAGCTGGGCAGGACCAAGCTTCAGGATGAGCAGGATGAAGACCTTCCTGATGACAGCTCTTCGGACTCCTCCTTCCGCCGCCTCACCCGCACCTACCGTGCCACCGACAGCATCTTCAGCCCTGAGCTGACGGCAGCCATGGAAGGAGCGGTGGAACACCAGGGCTGTGGCGGAGAGGAGATCTGGATGCCAAAGGAGTCAAGCCCATATGCCATCCACAAGATCAAATCGGCCACCAAATGAGAACTGGAAGAAAATGAAGGGAGAGCAATGTGGGGGTGGAGGCTGAGTGGGATCAAACATGGGAGAGATGGAGTTTGTGCTCCTCAGGGTGAGTGGCAGCAGGCCCACAGCGGCCCCGGTGTGGCCATCAATTCACTGCTCCACCAGCCTGGAAAACTCTAACCCAGGGGTGGTAAGAGGTAGTCCCTGGGTGTGCTGAGGGGCTGCAGGGTGGCCCCAGGGACCGCCGGCTGCTTTGCTGCAAACACGGCACTAACCCTAAGATAACCTCCCTGTTCCTGGCTCATGCTGGCTGGCTTTAGTACTTACCCATGCTCAGCCAAGGCTGCCCTGAGCCTTCCCAGGCTGTTTACTCCTGTTTCTTCTTGGATGTTGCTTCTTCCACCCCTGATGCTGCCAACACCCCACAGTGTTTGGGCTGCATGCTGACAGCAGGGATGCAGGGAGGGCGCAGGCAGAGCTGGTGGGAAAGCATCACCTAGCACAGCCCTCCCATGCCACGGGCCTTGCGGCCCCACTTCCCCCAGGAAGCTCAGCACAGGGCTGGTGCTCTACCCCTGGCTTTCCTTCGTGCTTCCTCCACTGGCAAGGGAGCCCCAGAGGTAACTCACTGGTGCTTTTTCCAGTAAATAAACACAAGGGCTTGTATGGCAATGTCTCCCTGACCCCTGCCATTAGTGGTGTATATGGAGAGAAAAGGAAGTGGCAAACCTCGGCCTTCCCTGTGCAGAAGATCTCCTGGCCTCCTGCCTGTGTTTCTGGCACTGGGCCATAAGGAGCAACAAGTTGAGCCTGTTTTAGCATGGGAAAGGATAAGGGTTTAGCCTGAGGAAGGGAAAGGGGGGGAAAACGGTTCATATGGATCCCATGAATGATGATTCCCTGCCCTCACTCCTCTTGAGCCTGAGCCTCTCTGTTTGGTGAGCAATCACGGAGCAAGCATCCCCAGATGCTGTGCACAGGGGCTTTTCAGTTCCACAGCCTGGGGGCTGCTCCAGCTCCAACAGGCAGCACAGGCTCTGTGGTGCTGCAGGAAGGGGATGCATGGAAGCGGTGACCCAGATGCCACCCAGCAGGGACACTCCAAGCACCAATGGTCTTGAGGTGGTGCACTGCGGGGTCTGTTTCTCCATCCACCACTGCACATGAAGTGCTTGGGCTGGGCACAGCAAGAGAGGGCTGGGGGAGACGTCAGTGCACCCCTTAGTCCAGCTGGTGCAGGTGGTCTCTGGGAGCGGGGGGGCACTGGAGCTGCACTGTGTTCAGCAGTGGATGCTCTCCTGGTGCAGAGCTGAGCACCGTGGCTATGCAGCAGCCTCGTGCTCCTGCTCCAGTGAGGGGGGGCAAGGACTTGTATCCTGCCTGATGTGGGGGTTTGCTGAGTAATGCCAGAGCCCAAGGGGAGTCTAGGTGGCTCTGGCATCAAACTGGCCTCCAGCATCCTTAGATGACAGGCAGGACTGAGACCACAGATTTGCCTCTGTGCTTGGAGGGTTTGCCCAGGGGTTTGCCTTGCAGGGTCCAGTTCTTGCTCCCCCATCTTTTCTCCAGTACCCCTGTGGCACATGAGCTGTGAGCTGCAGCTCCCACAAGTGGGAGCCTCCTGAGGACCTGCAGTATTGTGGGGACTGGAAAATCCAGCTTCCCATGCCAAGCCTGGACAGGATGGGCAGACGTGGACCCGCCCCAAAGCAGGCAGCTTGCCCAAGCCCCCGCAGAGCCACAGGCAAACCTGGATGGAGGTTTTCTGGCTGAAGATCTTATCCCACAGGCCAATGCACTGTGTTTCCATCAGCAGCGGGATGTGTCTCAGCTCTGCCTGGCAAGTATGAACCTGATGCATATTTTTGACTGGAGGACGTACTGCTCCAACATGCACAAGGAGAGGCAGACAGCTGGATCCCACAAGGATTCCAGACCAGCAGTGAGCAAATTTCAGGGAGCTCCCAGGCCAGGGACAGCAGCGGCTGCACCACTGGAGTTGGGGCTTGAGAGGACAAGTGGATGAGCGGGAAATGGGATGGGCTGGAGCTACAGCAGCCCTGACCCTTTCTGGGTACTGACGGCACCCAAGATATGTGGACTTGTCGTGGTTTAAACAAAGTCAGCCATAAATCACACAGTCACTCTCTTACTCCCCCCCCCCCCCCCCTTTTGGCCTCCCCCTGCTCCTGGAGGGATGGGAAGGAGAATCAAAAGAATGCAACTCCCACGGGTTGAGATAACAGTTTAGTAACTAAGGTATAACACAAATCACTACTGCTGCCACTAATAATAACAATGATAAAGGAAGTAACAAGGGAAGAGAATACAACATCTCACCACCAGCCAACCGATAACTTACCCCCCCAGCCCAACCAAGCACCAACCGATACCTCCTCCAACCCCGCAGTGCCCTAGCCCTTCCGGGTAACTCAGTTACATCCTGGGCATGACGTGCTGTGGTATGGAATACCTCTTTGGTCAGTTTGGGTCAGGTGTCCTGTCTGCTTCCTCCCGGCTTCCCCTCCTCCCTGGCAGAGCATGAGGCTCTCAAAGTCCTTGGCCAGACCAAACATTTGAGAAGTAACTGAAAACATCAGTGCTATCAGCGCCATTCCCAGGCCGAAAGTCAAAACCACAGTCCTGCACCAGCTACCAAGAAGGAGAAAAAAAATGACTGCTACTGCTGAACCCAGGACAACTAAACCAGGTTTAACGCCCCCACCAGCCCTTTGAGCACCCAAAAAACATTCTGCTGCTCCTGGCCATCAGCAGCCCCAGGTCTTTCTGCTAGAGATGTGGCAGAGCTGCCTGTATATCGCCCTGTCTGCGGGGAGAAAGGAGTGTAGGATTATCCCAAAGGATTTGGATTAAATTTGGATCTGGAAAGTTTTGCTGGGAATCTGCCAAGGGTTTTGGGGGGAAAAGGAGCTCTCTCCCTGGCCAACATATTAAGCAGCACCCCCTTATGCCCCGCTTCAGGCTGCACCCACAGCAGCGTGTTGCAGCCCTCAGAGCTCAACCAGCGGGGATGAACTGGTGACTGCTGCTGCCATCCCTGCCCGGCCGGGGGTGATGGATCTGCCCTCGGCCTGGGACACCCTCGTGGCTCCTCCTCCTTTCACGAGCAGCAGGTCTTTGATAAGCGGCGGGTGCGCTGTTTAACCTCTTAGTGAGGCAGCTCTGGTTTGTGCCTCGGTAGGTTTGAACGGTGTTCAAGTGATCCTGCAGTGCAGAAACAGCGAACCTTGCACCCAACAAACCACCTTCTCACGGCATCGTGTTAAGACGGCTCTGCCGATGCCTTTGACCGTGTTCTTTAAGCGAACCGAACCACACATTCACAACACCGGCTCACAGGAGCTGCACGGCCAGCCCAGGGTGCCCCGTTCCCCCAGCCAGAGAGCCCAGCCCCGAGCAGGAGGGCAGGCCCGGCTGCGGGCAGGGGTCGAGCCCGCTACAGAAGCACTGGGCCCAGATGCCTGCGGAGGTCGTTCCACCCGAGCGGGGGATGCTCCCCGGTGAGCCGGATCCCACAGGGGGTGATGGAACAGCGGCCGCACCACCACGGCCCAACCTCAGCCCAAGACCCACCATGACACCCTGCCTAGCGACCCCGCGGCACCCATTTAAACGGCAACGCGTCCTCACCAATCACCGCCCGCCTCGGGGCCGGGCGGCCCGCCCCGCTGTCAGCTCGGGCTTCTATTGGTTGCCGGGGCTGAATTTTAAACCCTGCCGTCCTGCCCCTTAGCAACCGCATCCCTACCTGCTCGCCGATTGGCACCCGCGTGGCTCCGCCCCGCACTCTGATTGGAGGACCCTCGGCCAGTGCTGGCCTGCGGCTGCCGAACTGCTACTTTCAAAAGAGCCGGGGCCGGCTGCGGCGTGGAGCTGGGTGCGGGTGAGTGCGGTGGGGCCGCGGGGTCTGGGCTCCTCGGGTGCCGGGGAGGGCGGCTTCTAGGACCCACGACCCTTCGGGAGCTGCAGGGGAGGGGGGTCTTCGGCTCTCTACGGGATCCTGGGCCGCAGGGCAGTGCAACCTGCTCTTGGGGGTGGATGCTGAGCTCCTTCCTCCTTCGAGGGTGCCGGACCGCTGCTCGCTATGGGCTCGGTATCCCCCTGTAGGCCCGTTCCCCAGCTCCCTGGGGGAGGGCAGCGGTGGGAATCCCTGTCCTGGGGGCTTCTGCTCCTTTGGAGTGTGGAGGTTGTCCTAAGCTCACTTACCCACCCTGTGTTTGGGGTGGGGTGTGAAGCGGTGGGAGCTCGTGCATCCCTCTCTGGGATGCAGGGAGCTGTGCACTGTCTCTCACACATCAGCCCTGCTCCCAGCAGGGTGCTGGTGACAGGGGTCATGGGGCTCCATGTCTGTTGTGTCCTGTTTTCCCCTGGGAGGAGCACACCAGCCCTTCCCTGCACCCCCAGAACATCTCCTGCCATGCTTGGGGAGGGTGTTGGTGCTTGTCCCTGCTGCACTACCCCAAGGAGGGACAAGTGCTGTGGCCTGTGAGGGTGTCTCTGGGCAGCCGCCTGCATCAAGTCCTGCTCCACTCCCAGCTTGTTTGTAGAGACTGAGGGAGAGGATGCCGTTGACACGCAATGCCAAGATGGTGATCACCAAGCAGCCCCGAGCAGGCAAGATGGGTCCTGCTGCAGAGAATGCTAACCCTGAAAAGGTGAGTCCTGAGCCATGTGAGGGATGTGGGAGTCTCCTATGGGGCAGCAGGCTGCCATTTCAAACAGCTTCTATTGCAGGAGGAGAGCTGTCAGGCCAAGAGGTCTCCATCCTCACCCCAGGGTGCACCCAAGAAGAGGTCGGCATTCGGGGATATCACCAATGTAAGTGCTTCTGATTTGGTACCCCCTTTGAGCCCTCCAAAGGAGTAGGGCTGCGTACCCACTCCAGCACAGACTGGGGGGTGCCCCATGTCCTGTCTGTGGGAGGACAGGTCTCCCTGCAAGGCACCCCTCTGTATGCCCCCATTCTCACCCAAACAGTCTCACAAGAACCAGGTGGTGGCAGGGAAGAAGGAGGCCGTGAAAGTGGCACCAAACAAGGCACAGAGAGCCCATGCTGCTCTGGGGGTGGCCAAGAACAACGAGATCAACCTGAAAAAGTGAGTAGCCAGAGGAGATGGGGACTAGGACCAGGGGATCTCTCCCACGGGGAAGAGCAAGCTGTGGTGGGGACTTCCTTTGGGCAGGGGAGACCATGAAACCAGATGGGGAGGGCAGACAATAGGTAAAACAGCCCAAAGTTATGCCAGAGCAGGTTTAGGTTGGATACTAGGAAATATTTCCTTACCAAAAGGCTTGTCAAACACTGGAACGGGCTGCCCAGGGAAGCAGTTGTTTGACCATCCCTGGAGGTGTTTAGAAGTCACATGGATGTGGTACTTGAGGGCATTAAACTTGTATAAACAGCACTTGGAGGCATTAAACTTGCATGAACAGCAAGTTTAGCTGTGAACTTGGCAGCATTAGGTTTGCAGTTGGACTGGATGACATTAAAAGTCTTTTCCAACCTAAATGATTCTAAGAGTCAATATGGGGAATATTCTA